GGGTGGAACACCGTTGAAAATGGCATCGTTTCTTACCGACCAGATGGACCAACACAGAGTGACAATCACCTCCATGAAGAAAGGAATGTGCAACTGAATCTTGTGAGCTTCCAGAACTTGATCAAACTCCGAACAATTGGGGACCAAAAGTTGAAGAGTATTCCAGCAAGCCCCCGCAAACGGGCAATGGAAAAACAAGTGAAACAAATCCTCTTCAACAGGGTGGGAGCAAAAAACACAATTGTAGCTGTCTAAAACCATGCCTCTTCGTCGAAGAATCTGTCTGGTATTAAGCCTATCAACCATTAGCAGCCAAAAGAAGAATTTTCGTTTAGTCTGACAAGAAGAACGCCAGAGCCAAAGAAAGCCTCGATGAACCTGTCTGACTGCCAACTAGGTGCTTATATGCTCGGGCTGAAACATAAGCCCCGGTACCCCATGAGTATGGCCAGACATCAGGTGACGATTGGAGGTGAAGGTTCTGGAGGATAGCTACAAGCTGAACAAATTCAGTGGATAAATGGCAACATGAGGGGAGATTTATTATTTTTTTATATGACCTCATTAATCGTTACGCGACACATCTCTGCAGGACATGTTTGGGACTGGAAGCAGTACAACATCGACGACGATCCAATGGGCCATGTTAGAGCTGATGAAGAATCCGAAACTGATGCGGAAAGCGCAACAAGAGATACGCCACGTCCTGGGATGCAAATCGCGGGTAACAGAGGACGACCTGACCAACCTGAAGTACGTAAAGCTTGTGATCAAAGAAACACTACGGTTGCACCCAGGAACATGCGTGCTCTTCCCAAAAGCGAGTCAGGAATCTTGCAAGATCCTTGGGTATGATGTGCCCAAAGGCATGCTCATGATCATGAATGTCTGGGCGATTAACAGGGACCCAAAATACTGGGATGATGCCAAGGTTTTCAAGCCAGAGCGTTTCGAAGGAACTACCGTTGATTTTCGTGGCACGGACTACCAATTCTTACCGTTTTAGTGGAGGAAGAAGGATGTGCCCGGGCATAATGCTGGCGCATGCCAACATTGAGTTGGGACTCGCGACACTCCTGTACCACTTCGACTGGCAGCTCCCACCGGGGGTCACACCCGATGAGGTAGACGTGGCTGAGAAGTTTGGTGTCGATGTTCGCCAACGAGGGATGTTTACTTCTTCCCGGTCCTAGTTCTGCCACCGAAAATAGAGTAGTCCTAGTATCTAGCTTGCACTCTGCAACTTGTAGCATCAGACGCTAAGGACATGATCCGATAAGATTGTGCGTTTCTTGCTTTCCTGTGCACTTGTGTAACACGTTATTACAATCTCAAAATGTTTATGTGCAGACCCAAAATTCCTTAAGCTACCAGCCATCTTAATTAAGGCTCACTAGGTACTACTAGCTAGTCCCACTTTTCTTAGCACAAATGTTGAGGCTAGGGCGTCTATTCGTCTGGATGATAAAAAAATTCTCTCCACTGAGCTTTGCCTCCATCGCGCCGCCCGCCTATACCGCGGCGTCCGCCCGCCACGGCCGCTCCACCGAACCGGCGAGCCTCATGACGGATGCTCCAGCAAACAGGCCAAGGAGGAGCTTCATGTAACGCCACCCCGCCGGGCGAAGTTGCCCGTGTGGCTGCTGACCGTGAGCTCCGACCGCCACGAGCTCCACGTGCCGGCATCGAGTTCTACAACGACGAGCCTCCATTAAATCCGAAAGCAGCAGGGTGACATTGCACTAAAATGCATGTTGTAAGCATATGTTTCAAGTGGTTGAGATGTGTTCCAGAGGTATGTTGCAAGTGTTTTTATATCGATGTTGCAAAATTAGATCGGAATGTTGTACATGTTGCAATGGCTATACACGTATGTTTTAAGCGTATGTTCCAAATGTTTCATTTATTTTGCATTTATGTTGTAAGTGTTTCATTTGAATATTGCAATAGATTCGATGATATACACTTGTGTATAATAATACACATATATATATATAGTGTTTGGTGTTTTCACACGCATATTGCAAGTATTTCATCTTGATGTTTGCGTATGTTTGTAATGGCTACACACATGTTTTCAAGTTTTTTTCTGGTCTTTTGCAAGTGTTTGGGACGTATGTTACAAGTGTTTCATCTAGATGTTGAAAAAGTAGATCGGATGTTGCACATGTTGCAATGGGACCCACCTACTGCAGTCGTCTGCTGCAGCTGCTAGGGCACCGCCGAGCGAAGCATAAACAATCCACGCGTGTGGTGGGGCGGTCTGGCGACGCTCGAATTCAATGCTGGCCTCGCGTGGGCATGAGAAATGAAGTGCACGCAAGGGAGCAGGGGTGCGTGCACGCAGGCGTCCGTCAAACGTCCGGCACTAGCAATCCCATTTTCTTAGCTACGTCGTAGGAGAAATTATGTGGATCATTAATTGTAAGTATTGCCAGAAATGTGTATAAATTAAATATGAAATATATCAGGCCCTTGTCCTTTCTTATACTACTGTGGATTCCATAACCACCATTGAGAAATAAAACATGTATAGACATCCAAGACAATTTATCATGTTTTCTATAGGAACAAGTTTGTTTTTTGCCCCTTAATTTTTACGTTTGTCTAATTTTAACCCCAAACTATAAAACCTGATAAATTTGACAGCTCAACTATCAGTACCAATCCTTTAATCCCTCGGTCTTCTTTTGGTGTTTTTCAAGTATAGCTTGGGCCTCCCTGTCATATGCTTCATCTCTCCTGATACCTTGACACTTCCCTCCTGTCCATTACCACCTTCCAATAGCTATGTCTAGCATATACTAGCTTTTGTGCCACTTCTACTGCTCACTAGCCTATGCTATGTGCGAACCACCAAGCCGCCTTGTGTCAATAACCTGCAGTTTTGGCTTCCTTATTAACACTATCGGTTGACACCAAGAGCCGACAGTGTCAGCTCAACAGAACACTGCCAGCTCGTGTAATGAACCGACAGTGAAGATTGTGATCGCTGCCTGTTGAAAAAACCCGGCACTGATGAGAACCCTCCATCACTGCCGATTTGGTTGTCCGGTTCAAAATCCGATAATAAAAGGGCGGTTTGAACCGGTAGTGATGTGCCGATCTAGGGTAGTGAGAATCGGTTGTGTGGACACGATTGACTGTGCAAATGTAATTTCACGGTTGATTTGAGGCAAGAAACTGACTGAAAAAATGTTTTCACGGTCAGTGAACTAACTGCGATAAAATATTTTCAAAGTTGTTAGATGGAAGACCGACTGTGACAATGCTTTCACAGACGGTCGCTGGCCTGTCTGTGTAAATACTGATTTTCAATAGCCACCACCGTGTTTGATCAACATACGAAGTAGGAGTAGCTTCCAAGAGGACCAGCGCTGGCATTAAAAATGACTCAGATACGGCTCGTGATGTTTTCCACACCTGCTACCAGCAGACCTTTATTTATTGTGGTGTGAACACCATGCAGTCCAGCTAATCACCAAATCAAATTGAAGCGCTCCTGCGTGCCGATCCTTCCATCACAAAATGAATAAACAAACATGGATGAGTGTGTGTGTCGCACGTTTCAACGCGAGAGGGAATGCAGCAAAAGCTTCCTTCGTTCATTCTGCCCGCATAAGAAAGCGAGAAAGTGACTCCAACGGACCAAATCAGCAGCGGGCTGCTTCAGTGCTTCTCCAAAAATCGTTTTGAAAACAACTTAACTGCTATTTTTTTTGCTATAAAATATTTACAAAATATAGTTAAAAAATATTTTTATGAAACTATATTTCAAGAAAATTCTACCTACATCACTTTTATATTTCTAAACTTAACAATAAACAAAATTATTTATAGTCTAAATTTAAAATATTTGACTGAAAGCAACCTTAAAACAACTTGCTTTGAGGAACCTGTGGGAGTAAATAAATCCAACTGACGTGTAAATAATTTGGATTCCAGTGTGAGCAGGTGACCACGGACGGAAGCGCCCGCCCAGGTCGTAGGCACGAGACAGTAGTCCCCGTTCTCGTTCTCACTACCATATAGCATCTCCAAAAAATATCCTATTTTGTCTTCCTAAAAATATAATGTTTTCTAACTCTAAAAAAATATTGAGAGGAATAAAGACTGTCATCTCCAAAAGTTTCTAATATTTCACTTCTAAAAAATCAAAAGGTCGGTCCAGGAGTTGTGATATTTTACATCAGGAATCCTAAATTCATTTCTATATCCATTTAAGTCCTCCCACCAAATCTCTCTCTTGCGATTTTCTCACCTGAAACCCTATATTTCCTCCTTTTCCTTTCCCACGTGGAGACCATGGGAGAAAATGACGGCGCAAAAGGAGCCCGCGACGGGCCATCCGCATATCTTTACGCACATCGGGCCTTTTTTTCAAGTGCTAAAAGATTAGAAGGTCATTTTAGGAGTTGTTGGAGATGGATTTTTTCCATTCTTCCTAAAAAACAAGGATTGGGAAGAATTATTAGGTACTCTTGGAGATGCTCTCATTCCTCTGCCAGGTCCTGCCTTCGCTTTCGTACCAGGAGGGCATGTGTCCTATCGTTGTTCCCTAGCGTATGACGGCACGAGGCCTGAGGGCAACTCCAACCGAGCTCCCATATAGACTTCTATCCCTTTTTTAGGGCTTGGGACTTGAAAACATAGCTCTAACCGAAAGCCTCATCCGACCCCCGATGGATGAGGCATTCTCATTCCTCTCTCCTAAACCTCAGATGTAGGAGTTCCTCATCCTCTCCCCTACGCATTCCTCTCCTCTTACAAGGCTGACAAGTGAGCCCAATAAGTAAGACACATGATAATATAGTGTAAAGTAAGAAAGTTTTAAAGGATCAGTTGGAGTGTGCTGAGAAGTAGGAGCTTAAATATAAACAAGGGACCCTCGTTCCGGGAGATAGGGGACCTAAATTTGACGAATAGTTTGGAGTTGCCCTGACGGCGGTGGCAGCTGCTTGAAAACCACGTCCTCATCAGAGAACACCCTGCAACCAAGCATGTCACTTACTTCCGTTGCCACCGCTCTCGCCGTTGTTCTCGCGTGTTCCATCACGGCAGGACTTCCCGGTGCGGTGGCGTCGGGGGACACCGTCTCGGCGCGGCGGCCGCTGCGGGGCATCGACACGGTGGTCTCGGCGCAGGGCAAGTTCGAGCTCGGACTCTTCAGCCCCGGCGGCTCCGGCCGGTTCTACCTCGGCATCTGGTACAAGAACGTGCCCGTGCAGACCGTCATCTGGGTCGGCAATCGTGTCAATCCCCTGTCCGGTTCCGGTGTTGCCTCCACCGAGCTCCGGGTGTCCTCCGACGGGAACCTCGAGCTCGTCGGGCTCAGCCCATCCTCTGCCACGCCAGGCGTCCTGTGGTCGTCGAACCTGTCGTCGTCTTCGTCGGTGTCGTCCTCGCCGGGGTCGAACGTTGCTGTGATGCGTGACAACGGCAACCTGGTCCTCCTCGACGGCGGCAACTCCTCCAACGTGCTGTGGCAGAGCTTCGACCACCCGACGGACACACTGGTGCCCGAGGCGTGGCTCGGCGAGGACAAGCTCACCGGCGAGTACCAGACGCTGACGTCGTGGCGCAACGCCGAGGACCCCGCGCCGGGGATGTTCACGAACACGGTGGACCGCAACGGCAGCAGCGAGTTCTTCTACCTCTGGAACGGCTCCCGCGCCTACTGGCGCAGCGGCGTCTGGACGGGGCGCGTGTTCGCCAACCTGCCGGAGGCCGTCAACAACGTGCTCTTCAACCAGACGTACGTCGAGACGCCGGCGTACCGGCGCGTCACCAGCGTGCTCTACGACAACGCGACCGTCACGCGCATGGTGCTGGACCTCACCGGCCAGACGAAGCAGTTCATCTGGGTCCCCGGCAGCCAGAGCTGGCAGTTCTTCTGGGCCGCGCCCACCGTCCAGTGCGACGTCTACGCGCTCTGCGGCGCCTTCGGCGTCTGCAACCAGAGGAGCCAGCCGCCGTGCCAATGCCCGCCCGGGTTCGCTCCGGCGGCGGACCGGGACTGGGGCCTCAGCGACTGGAGCGCCGGGTGCCACCGGAGCCTGCCGCTGCAGTGCGGGGGCAACGGGTCAACGGACGCCTTCCTGGAGCTGCCGGGCATGAAGCTCCCTGACGATTCGCTCTCCGTGGCGGGCGCCCAGAGCAAAGCAGAGTGCGAGTTGGCTTGTCTAAACAACTGCTCCTGCCAGGCCTACACGTTCTCTGGCGGTGGCTGCGCCGTCTGGCACGACGGATTCCGCAACCTTCAGCAACTGTTTCCAGATGCCGGGGGCGGGGGTTCGTCGTCGTCGAGTCTGTACCTCCGGCTGTCGGAATCTGAACTGCAGCATCTGCGCGGCGCCAACAATGGGAAGAACAGGCGGAGGCTGTGGCTCGCCCTTGGCATCGTTTTGGCTTGCATTGCCGCACTGGGCGTGGCGGCAGTAGCAGCGTGGATCCTTGTGTCCAGGAGGAGACGACGGGCTGAAATGGCGAATCAGAAGAGCTCCTCCCTTGCAGTGTACAGCTACGGCGACCTCCGCTCGGCCACGAGCAACTTCTCGGAGCGGCTGGGCGGCGGAAGCTTCGGCTCGGTGTACCGCGGCGTGCTGAACGGAGACGGACACACCCAAGTGGAAGTGGCCGTCAAGAAGATGGAGGGCCTTGGGCAGGGCGACAAGCAGTTCCGGACGGAGGTGAACACGCTGGGCCTCATCCAGCACGTCAACCTCGTCCGGCTCCTCGGCTTCTGCTCGTCCGGGGACGAGAAGCTGCTCGTGTACGAGTACATGCCCAACGGCTCCCTGGACTCGTACCTCTTCGGAACCGGTTCGTCATGCCCAAGCTGGCGCGACCGCTACGGCGTCATGGTCGGCATCGCCAGGGGGCTGGCCTACCTGCACGAGGGCTGCCGCGAGCGCATCATACACTGTGACATCAAGCCGGAGAACATACTTCTGGACAGGGTTTTCACGCCCAAGATCGCAGACTTTGGGATGGCGAAGCTGGTGGGGAGGGACTTCAGCCGGGCCCTGACCACGATGCGGGGCACCATCGGGTACCTCGCGCCGGAGTGGATCTCCGGCCTGCCGATCAGCGCCAAGGCCGACGTGTACAGCTTCGGAATGGTGCTCTTCGAGATCATCTCCGGGCGGCGCAACGCCGAGGGGCACGGCGCCTCATGGGACGACAGGGACGGCGGCGACCGAGAGTCTACGTTCTTCCCGGTCTGGGCAGCGGTCAGAGTGGCGGAAGGGGACACGGCCGCCGTGGCGGACGCACGGCTGCGCGGCGACGTGAGCGAGGACGAGCTGGAGCGCGCCTGCCGGGTGGCGTGCTGGTGCATCCAGGACCAGGAGGCACACCGGCCGGCCATGGCGCAGGTCGTGCAGGCGCTGGAGGGCGTCGTCGACGTCGACATGCCGCCGGTGCCGCGGGCGCTGCAGCACCTCGCGACGCTGACCGCTTAGCCCCAGCTTGACACAGAAGACGCCATGCTTTGTCAGTTAGTGTACCTTTTTCTTTCTTTCTTTCTTTTTCCAAGGAAACAGGATATTAGGCCAGCCCCAGCTTCCACGTTGACGCCCAGCGTCTAAATTTGTGCCTGCAGAAGTGACTAGTGCCCGTGTTTAGTGGGTCGAAAAGTTGGAATTTGGCTATTGTAGTATTTTTGTTTTTATTTAGCAATTAGTGTTTAATCATAAACTAATTAGACTTAAAACGTTTGTCTCGTGATTTCCAACCAAACTATGCAATTAGTTTTTTTTGTCTATATTTAATACTTTATACACGCATCGTAAAATTTGATGTGATGGATGCTGTAGCATTTTTTTTGGAACTTTTTTTTTAACTAAACACATGCTTGGCCAACAAAAGGTTAAAGAACCTGTTAAAACTATCCTTGTGGAGGAAATTGCTGGTGCCTCATCCCTCGGAATGGTAAAAAGGTATGACAAATGGTTCTGACTAAAGGCATCAGCCCATGCTGCCTGTGTTGCTGTGATATGCGTCCCCGCATCTTCACGCGTAAAGATGAAAACGGTCGCTAACGGTCGAAAAACTCCTAAATTATTTTTTATTTTTATATTTGAAATATAAAAACAAAAACGGTAAAGTTGGACACGAAAACGAACGTGAACTTATGAAATATTGAGAATTCCGAAAACGAACCAATTCAAGCGAATTTATGTCGAACACGATCGATATACGAAAACTCAATACGGAATACCGACCCGTAGAGCCAAGTACATGACTAAGTACATACATGATCAAGTTCAAATGCATATAATAATTAACAAGTGCATGATCCTTGGTCTTAGGTATTTAACACAATAGCCGACACATAAATACAAGTATAGAACAAGCAATTAGTAGCTAGCAGGATAATATGAATTAAAATTAGATGTAGCAACTAGCATACCATTTTAGAATCTAAACTAAAATTAGATGTTATAGAAACATGAACTCAAACTGAGTCAGGATAATTTTATTAATCTTTTTGGAATAGATGTAGTATTTTATTTTAAAGATTTATTCAGATTTTTCTTTTGAGTAACAAAGATTTATTCGACTGAGGCAAAAACTATCAAATGATTGACTTTGCAGGTAAGGGTTACACCGATAAGCTTGATGGGCTATGTCCCAGGTGGGGTTTTGTGTAGATGCTGCTGGCTTACTGCCATTTAGCACCACCTCGTGAGGTGAAGGGAGATGAGGCTAGGCGCCATCTATAAGAGAGGGTAGTTAGCCACCAGTAGAAAGAACACAGCTGCGTGGTGAGCAGCCTGTAATTAGGCTGTATGACCTGTGCAGTTGGCCAAATTCGGTTTAAACCGAATTTTGAATTCGGAATATTTCAAATTAAAAGTAGAAAAGTAGAAAACGGTCGAAAAATGTGTAAACCGTTTTCTACTTTTACATTTGAAATACGAAACATCTCAAATGCGAAAGCGAAAACGGTAAAGTCGGACAAGAAAATGCGGATTCGATCGGATTAAATATAGAAAACGATGCGGTTCGGTTCGGGATATTTCCGTTCCGTTTTCATCCTTGTTCCTGCGTGCGTGGCCTGTATAATTTATCTGGGGAATACGACTCTGTTAGCCCGCGTTGAGCGTGCCCTTACTGTGATGGCTTCACTCCAATGGCCCTTGTATTCCACTTCCTTTTATGCTCTCCAGTCTCCACAACTAATAATGGAGCAATTTGGAACGACAAGAGGTGATGTCCAATGCTTCTACGCTTACCAATTATATATTTGATTAATCTATTTACAATATGCGTCACTAGGTTATCATTCATCGTCGATCAGCCACTTATCTAACCATTCCATAAATGACGTGTTTGGTAGAGATCCAGATTCTTAGATAAACGTTTCGGATCTAGATTCTATCTCGAAACGTTTCTTAGGAGAAACAAAATCATCTGACTGTTTGGATTTTGATTTCATAAAGAGAAGAATGTGGTGGAATTGACCGATGTACCCTTCGCCATATGATACTTTTCTTGAATATGGAGAAATAAAATGTTTGAAAAATATGAGTTAGTATTAATTAATCCATTGACACATTATTGGACCACACAAAATCTCAGTGGCACAGAGTGTGACACCTTGTGTCACTACAAACATGTTATGCACAAACTCATGTCAGCATTCATCTCATATAATGCGCATTAATGTTGCAAAAATGCTGAAAAACAAAAAATTATGTGGATTTGTTTGAATTGTGCAAGTTGTGGTCATTTTGGGTTATTTGCAAAGCTAGATCCTTATAAGAACTTAATAACAACTCTTCAAAAAAACACCCAAACTAATGTTTGAAGTACGAACTTAGGTCTAATTACTAGAATGGGAATGGATGTCAAAGTTCTGTGTCAAGTATTTTCCCACAACTACGAAAAACTATAAATGAAAATCAGATTCTGAGCTGTCACTTAATTGCTAACTACCAGTTTTCAACTCAAAATTTAAATACAACTTCAAATACAACTTTTCATAGATGTGGTATGACTAGCTTCACCAGATCATCTTATAGATGTTTACAAATTTTGAAATTGTTGGACATTATTTGCTATTTTTCATAGAGGTCCGTAGGCCTCGCCAACTTCTTGATTGGCCCAAATCTCAGCTTCCTACAAATGTTCCTTTCCAGCCTTTCCCCACATACCATCGGTGGACAAGTTCGTCTGGGCGAGGGAATACCTCTTAACAAAGTACTCGTTGCACTTGTGAAATGAGAAATCAATGATGCCCGACACTAGTAGGCTTCGAACTCCCCTGAAAACTTTGTTTAAAGACTCAGAAGTGTTCATGGTCACGATGCCGTACCTAAAGCCACCCTCATCATATACTAGTGCCCACTTAAACTTGTGCTGCATCTGCTCCTCCAACCATGACTTCGCCTCAGTGTTCAGTAATTTGTCAACTTCTTTCTTTCTCTCCTCAAACTGATGTTCTGAACATGCACAATATAGGGCCTTTACCTTGTCTACAACCTCCTTCTTCTTTTGATGGCGCCAGAAATTAGCGCCGAAATGTCTCATGCACCATTTGTGCTCAAGAGGCGGGTAACCATCAATCTCTTCTCTAGATGCATTATGCAATCCGATGTGCTGACCTGAGATCATACATACCCACCGAGAGGTGTGAAGCACATGTATCCGTAGAAGCTACATGAACCATGACCATGAATCGTTGTTTTCTCCCTCTACCAATGCAAATGCTAGTGGCACTATCTGATCCTCTAGATCAATAGCTGTGGCCATCATCAACACGCCCCTGGACTAGCCCGTAAGGAAAGTGCCATCAGCGAGTATGACTGGGCGACAATATTGGAAAGACTGTTACGTCTATGAAAAGGACCAAAAGACACATTGCAAGACATGTGTTATGAGACCAGTAGAGGAGACCAAGTACTTCCCTCCGGTGTATGGAAACCAACTCAAGCCAAGGTTGTAGTAAGCCATTACACACAGTATCATAGGAACCCTGTTGTACGCCTCCTTCCAACTACCCTAATGATTTTGAGGATCATATATTGAACGAAAGGTCCTAATGGCTCGAGGGTGAATATATTAAAAATTTCTTGACAAAACCGGTTAGACAAATAGGTCGCGGAAGTGTGCACAGCCTACTAAAATGCAAGCAACCTCACCCAAATCTAGTTTCTATAGTCGATCATGCTAGTGTCCCCAAAGTTAGTTGGGAACATCACTATAGGGTACGTTGACAACGACCCATATGCATCATCTCAAGGAAGTGGGCCGTAAGGCTCTGGGGGAATGTAATCGCTTCAAGTTAGCTTAGGCGTATTCAACCTCACCCATGAATCATAGCCAAAGTAGCTTCTCACAACACAAGATGAGGAACTTGCACACATCTCTCGAGTACATTTTGGTCCACATATGGATTCACAATGAGCTCGGGTCACCATCGCCTTCCTCGCCGCTCCAAGTTACCTTCACCTTCTTCACCATCTAAGTCTTCTTATCACCGCCAAGATGGCGAGGCGGCAAGAAGTCAAATTATTGATGATTTCTCCACCGGATCATAAGACCATTTGACGGTGCTATATTATTTCATCCCTGATGCAATGGGGTGTGTCCATCCATCTTCAAAACGTTAGTGAAAACTTCACACCTGAAAGGTTCCTTAGCGTGTCGCGCATGGATGAACAACTAACGGCGATAAACGTTCTATCCGTGTTGTCGGTTTGGCGTGCATAATACGGTGGTGAAGTTCGAAAGCAACTTGTTCACCGTTGGATCATACCGAGACAAAGGTGAAAACTTTATCACCGCCGCCGTTAATCAACCAGAAGGGGTCCTCAAGCCACAAGCCGACATTAATGATAATTATCACCGCCGCCGTCTCAAAACCGTTGGTGAAAGTCTGGCGGTGATTAAACTTTTCGTAGTAGTGGAAGGATCAACAATGCAAGGCAAATTGGAGACAACTCAAACCCCATTCTCATTTGTTTGCTAATTTGAACTACATAACCCCTAATCTAATTGTCATGGCATGGTGGAAGAAGCATGACAGTATTGGCTCCATTCCAAATTGTAAGTCATTTAGGCTTTTCTAGATCCCGTAGATTTTGCTATGCATCTAGATATACTTTATGTCTAAATATATAGTAAAAGCTATGAGTCTAGAATAGTCAAAACGGCTTACGATTTGGAACTTATGGAGTAGATCCATAGGTAAGTGAGAAGGAGAGGACTATGTGCTTGTGTAGATGTGTTGGTTTTCTTATATACATCCCATTTTTCATCAGGCAATCTGAATATTGCCCAACCAATTTATATAAATTAAAAATATATTAGGCCATCCATATCTCTCTCTTATCGGCGGCTCTAGCATCACCCTAGCTATCTGCGATGACCCATCAATTAATCACACCAAACTAAGTTGTCAACCTTTGATCAACACTCGGTTTAATATGACAAATCTGGTTGTCACTCGAATTCTACCATCCGTGGTATCCACCATGTGCATGACCTAAAGATATATTGCTAAAGAAGAACCACTACTACCACCTTCGTTTCTTCCGTCTCTACAAAATCAACAATGATTTGAATTCGCAGAGGTGGTGGTGGAACATGAGCCGTCCCTAAAAATCGATTTGTACAAGTGGCTACATTCTAGAAATCTTTCTGTTAAAATATAATCACTTGGCTACAATGGTTAGAACTGCTATTATTCATCCGCAATTCTCTCCTTAAATGAACTAGAATCACCACAAGACACCTATCCGGGGTACATTCATCATTCATTAAGGCGTACAATGTGGGACTTTGGATGGACATATGAAATTCATAGGAATAGAAAATCTAGGAAATGTAATGATCCCCTCAATGCATTGGTTTAATATTTTTGTCTCTCGAATTGTTAGGTCAACATCTTTGTTCATGTTCTTTTGATCTGGTCCTTAATTACAAACTTGCAGTCCTTTTGATCGAGTACATGATAGTTTTTTCATTAGTTAAAAAAAAAGAAAGATACATAATAGAAGAGCGAGGACAGCAAAAGAATGAGGTCGGAGTAGATGTTTTTAATTAATTCATTCATTAAAATAAAGATATATTTTGAACTAGTACATGATTGTACTCCGATGACCGATACATAATAGACCCTAAACTATTAAACCTAATAAATTTAAAGTACTTAATCTTTGGATGATTCCTAAAGAAGCCATTAGCAGAGGCTATTTGGCGTCGTAACCGATGGTGGATATGTTTCATCATTGGTTCCTCCTCCTTGGCATCGGCGTCCGGGCGCTCATGCCATCTGGCCGCCACCCGTGGTCGTTAGGGGAGAAGGCATCTCGACGCCTCCTCCTCGGGAGGTCCAAGAAGGACTCCAATCAGGAGAGCTATAGTCGCTGGAGCCCTCATCGTTGGGGTCATTACTTTAGAGACCTCGCTCCTCGTCGGTGGATTTCTTCAGTCATTGCTCGGAAGCTCAAGTAGCTGTCCGCCGACATGCTTGAAGTTGGATGGAAGAAGAGGATGAACAAGGAAGAAGGGTGATTTCCCGAGGACATTGGGCATGAAGAATATGTAGAGCCTTAATCGGGTGAGCCTTCGTTTCTCCCAGCAGGAAGTAATGATGATGAAAGGGTATTGGTAGTTGGGACATTACTCAATAGTTGCAAAGAATGTTGACCGCCTAGTCCACCATTGGTCATTTATGAATTAATTACCATAACGAGTATCTCGTGCAACTCTGTCCTCGCTTTAATACGGGCGGATAAAAAGAAACCCAAGATCACTGGCAGATCCAATGGTAACACGATGGTGATAGAACTTTTTCGACGGTTTGATTTGTATCCAATCCAAAGTCCCACATTGTCACTAACCGATGGTGAAACATATCCACCATCGGTTATGTAATAACCGCCGTGATAATGGCGACTAGGATAGCTCAGTCTGTAGTAGTGGTTCTTCTTTAGCAATATATACTGGTCATGCACATGGTGGACATCACGGATGGTAGAATTCCAGTGACAACCAGATTTGTCATATTAAACCGAAAGTGTTGATCAAAGGTTAGAGACTATAGAGGCATTCTAGGCACCTCTAAAGAGGTTTTATGTTGCAGTGTTCATCACTTAAACTTAGGCCTGATAATGTAAAAAAAGTTCACTTAAACGTTTGCCTAATGGAATTTTGTCCAACAGTAGTTCAATTTATGTGCTAATTGACGTGGAGCTTCTTTTCTTGTCCTCGTTCTTTCAACAAAAATAATAGAGGAAGTGAGGAGTACTGCATGGTGCCTGACAGAAAAATAAAATGGAGTACTGCATGCAGATACCAACATGTAACAAGAACGACTATTTTTATAACAATTGGCCATTTATTCAAAATCAGGTACATTTTACATGGAGGAGTTCAAAAGGTTCCCAGGTTGCAGCTTGCATTAAATTTCTAACTAAACATTGACTAGCATGAAGAGGAAGTGAGCGAGAGAAGCTGATTCTAGAAGAGGAAGATAATATCGCCCTGGTGGCAAGACCGTGGGCTGTTACATTTTCGATTCTCTATTTGATCTGCTGAATGCTTGTATTGTGATCTTAGAAATCAGTGAGCAGCCTGATTTTCCAGTCCAGTAGACCTCTGTGTCGTCCGGTCAGTATGTTGACCAAACATTCACACCTTTCCAAATGCGTGTGCTACGTGGTGTTGCCGCGTTAGGCCTCTCACAGTTGAAAGTGGCCTTGGGCTCGTTGTTTAGTTAGCGATGGTCTGCCACCAGTTCATTTTGGGCCTATCGTTGGTGCTACACATGGGCCACTCAGCTAGCTGTTGGCCCTACGGCATGGCGAAAAAAGGTTCATAGAGTAAATTATATAACTATTGGTGTTTAAATTATTGTTGAGTTTTGTGAACTGATCATATGTCAGCTGGTTGAGTTCTTTACGGTGGAACATGTCTATCCGAGTTCAAGTCCTCGACTTGGTATGGATGCTTGTATTTTTCTGGATTTATTCCAGCATTTAACGGTGCTATGCTTTTAGTGGTAGGCAACGTCTTCGTCGACAGCGAGACGCCTGTGGTGACTTCGTGAATCTTGAGATCGATGGTAGGCGACGTCACGTCGACAACAAGACGCATGCGGTAACTTCGTGAATCTCGAGATTTGCCAACTTAGTCCTTAGGAAGTGCACATAGGGGTAGGGTTTGCGTACGCATGTTCATAAGGTTGAGTGTGCGTGCGTGTTATGGGCATCTACGTTGTACTGCGTAATTCTAAAAAAAACATTGTTGAGTTTTATCTAGGTCATCAAATTATATAGAGTACCATCTGGTGTTCATAGAGTAAATTATATAACTGTTGGTCCCTAAATTGTTGTTGAGTTTTATCCAGGTCATCAAATTAACAAACTACAGTTTAGAGCATCTCCAAGAGCCTTTGTAAATAATGCTCTCTAAATCGTCATTTGGAGAGTCATTTGCATAAAAATTGTTTTGTATATCTTTTCACTCTCCAACAGTTTTTCTATATCTCATGCGCACTTTAGAGAGCCATTCTCATCTTCTATATTTGGCTAGCGAAAAATTCGGAATAGAAGATGGTTATATTTGAATAACCATTTAGAAAAGTTGTTGGAGAGTGGTTTTTCACCAAAATTTCTATTCCTAGCATTTTGGAAGGCTATAGAAAATTTTTTGGAGATGCTCTAGCTCCAAGAGAATGGCTAAAAATACTTTTCAAAATTTCTGATTTAGCTATTCTGTAAAATAAAAAAGTCTAAACAGGCCCTTAAAAATAGCTATCTTAAGATTCAACCCCGCCACGTCACTGGACAACAGGCTCTACTGGTTGGCACATTTCGTCGAACAGGCAGCACGCAGTGACCGCACCTTGGCAGCCACTCTCGTCCGTCTCGTACTTGAGCTGATTCCCTCCAGCTGCTCACACTTACATACACCAAGCCAAGCTAGCTACTTCCTACACGGCTCAACTTAGCCAGCTCACACGATGCCGAAGTCGTGGAGGCCGGTGCTCAGCTTGCATCGGCCACCAAGTGCCGCGCGGCGCGGTGGCCTCCGACAGCATTGCCCAGTCCCGGCCGCAGCAGTGAAGCTCTTGCGCCGGCTCGTGTCCTTGAGCTGCCTCTTGTCCCTCGTCAACAGCCTGGCGTCGGCCACCATAGCTGACAAAGACGGCAGCACAAAGGCCAGCGACGGGGAGACGGCGGGCCCGCTGCAGCTGCACTCGTTCGGCCTCAGCGAGCTCTGTGGCCCCGCAGCAGCGCTTTTTTGTAGACGTTTCTATTTTATAGAATAGCTAAATCAAAAAATTTGAAAACTTTTTTTAGTCATTCTCTTGGAGTTGCTCTTAGGGAGCCATTAATCTATTTTGGTGTATCATCCTGGTCAAAAAATGTCATTCACCCCATCCGGTGGCTGATCTGGCACTTCAGGTTAGTTCTAGCCGGAAAATTGGCACATGTTGTTAGGTGGGGATTTTGCAAATTGCTCTTGTACTCTTGCTAAGATGAATAACCCTCTTACCTCATATCCTCTCTCACATGTTGCTTCTACCTTTTCTATTCCTCCTCCATCCCCTGTTTGTCAGTAGCACGCAAACCCTAGCCCTCAAATCGAGAGCCCGATCTCATTCATCATGGCCCAAATCAGCATCCTGCTTAGTCCAAACCTTGCGACCTACATTCGTGGAGTGGGCCGGGGGTAAATGGCATGGTATTTGAGTTCATCATCATTGTTTAGGCACAGGCCGAACAGGAAGCTACCATTGATTGTCTGCCCAGATTGCAATCGCAAGAAAAGTGTTAAGGTCGAAGCAACCATGGTCGGTTGGAAAAATCTTCTACACGTGCCCCAATCATCAGGTAAGTTTAGTTCGACAAATCTTCTCGAGACAAGCTCTCTTACCGTGTTGTGTTCTTATTTTGATGCAATGTGACAATGTAGCAAGATCGAACTGAGTGTCCATTTTGGCAATGGGAGGAAAGCTGAGGTAAAGGATGAAGTCGCTAAGGATGGATATTTTGGCACTAGCTAGGATGATGGAGGAGGAACATGGAGGCGGAGAACTCTTTGTTTTGATAGGCAAACTAAGAACTTTTGGGCAAACTCACTGTTTCCAAACTAGACTTCCGTACGTTGAAAACAGTGTAGACAAGTTTCGTCTTCATGTTTCATCCCATAAAATGTTTATTACATCTCTCTTCTCAATACTATACCACATCAGATTATTTAAGGCACTCCCAATACAAAAACTATGATAGTTTCTATAGTCATTAATTACACTGCCACGTAGACAATTTGTTGACGTGGCAGATCATTTATCGAAGAGAGAGTGGAAAAAAAATGAAGAAACAACGTGTAGAAACGACGTCTACGCACGAAGACGGAAGAGGCGAGTCTCGTCCGCGTTGGGAGGGCACCATGGTTTCTTCCCGACATCTCCAGATCTCGTGTGCCAAATCTCCCCAGCGCTCTCCTATCCCCGCCCCCCGACTCGTCATGTCCGTCCCGACTCGCGCGGCCATCCGACATCGCCACCTGCGGAGCTCGCGGCCGCCCGACGGACGTTGTCATCGGCACGCAGGACGACGGCGACATACTTGATGAGCGGGACGAGCGTGAGCGTCCAGGAGACGAAGGAGAGCGCGCTAAAGATCTTGATCTTGTTGGTCTACGAGTAAATAATGTCTTCGGCGATGGTGACCTTGTACACGTACGTGCCCTCCCCGCCAGCCGCAACGCCGCGCCGCTGAGAACCATCCTCGCCGCGCCGCCGCACGGACGTGGCCTTCCCGCCGGCCGCAACGCTGCGCTACCGCGGGACCCGCGGGATCCATCCTCGCCGTGCGGCGGAAGCCCATCCGCGCGGACGCGCCCTCCCTGCCGACCGCAACGCTGCGCCGGCCGCACCGCCGCCGTGAAGAGCGCTGCCGCGGAGCCTCACGTGGAGAGCGCAGCCGCCGCCTCGGAGCCGCCGTGGAGAGCGCCATCGCCGCCCCCATGGAGCCTCGCGTGGGCGCCTTGCTCGCGCACCGCCACGGAGAGGGCTGCCGTGGACCTCGCTTGGCCGCTGGCAGGGTGCTCGCGAGGACGACGCCGACTCGCCGTGGACCACGCCGTCGGCAAGGAGCTTGCGCAGACTGGTGGGGTGCTCGCGAGGCCGCCGTGGACTCGCACGGCCGACGCCGAGAGCTCGCGTGGCCGCCACTGCACCACGGACCTCGCACGGCCTCCGTCGGGGAGCTCACTCCGCCGTAGAGCTTCGCTTGCGGCCGCCGATGGGAGCCTGCGTGACCGAGCCACAGGGGCATCCGCCCGCACGGGATCTGGATGAATGTAGGCGAGAGGATGCGAATGATTGGTTTGATTTTTTTCGGGAGTACTCTAAATATTACTGCGCTGGGAGGATAGTTTCCATGAGTATGTCTCGTGGTAGAAACTATGAAGTAGTTTTTGCGATGAGAGGGGTCTAATTTGGAAAAAAAATTGTATGGGCGATGGGAGCACCCTGCTGCTGGTGCGACCCCCAGCGCGATGCCTGCCACGTGGAAGCCCGTTCCATCCAAAGGCAGCGTTAAACTTCTCGCCCCATCGGATCCACTTCGCAGATGGCTTGGCTCCGCGCGGCGGACGGCTCGGCTCCATCGGCTACACATCGCAGATGGTTCGGCTCCGTATAGCAGATAGCTCGGCCTTCACATCACGGCCCAAATCTCCTCTGACTCCGCCGTAGCCAGAGCACGGCGCGGCCTGTACTCGCGGTGTGTCCGGGGAGGTCACGAAGGACCACCGCGCAGCTGCCGTAGGATGAAAGGGCCGTACACGTGGCGTCCATCCGGCTGGGGGTAGCACGCGCCGCGCGCTGGACCCATCGTCCATGCAACCATCTGCGATGTGTAGCCGATGGAGCTGAGCCGTCCGCCGCGCGGAGCCGAGCCATCTGCGAAGTGGATCTGATGGGGCGAGAAGTTTACCGCTGCCTTTGGATGGAACAGGCTTCCACGCGGCAGGCATCGAGCTGGGGTCGCACCAGCAGCAGGGTGCTCCCATCGCCCATACAATTTTTTTCCAAATTAGACCCCTCTCATCGCAAAAACTACTTCATAGTGTCTACCACAAGACATACTCATGGAAACTATCCTCCCCAGTGCAGTAATATTTAGAGTACTCCCAAAAAAATTGCATGGATGATGGGTCCAGCGCGCGGCGCGTGCTACCCCCAGCCGGATGGACGCCACGTGTACGGCCCTTTCATCCTACGGCAGCCGGAAACGACGTCTCCGATGGAAGGCAAACAGCACACAGCTCGCTCCTCGATCCTCATCGGCTTAGCTGGAATACAAGATGCCCCAATAGATCGTGCCTTGAGCCCTAGACTAGTGCGGTTGTTGCACCTTGCGTCGGCGCCGGGCGCCGATTCCATGGATGAACCTACAGTTGACCTAATGCCATCTTCTTCTGTCATGGAGGATTCACGTGCACTAGGAATTGATGCTGTTGACGGTGGTCGTCTCGAAGGAGAACAACAGATAACACAGGTCAGTTATCTGATTAGATCGTTGTGTCTTTTCTTCTATGTTGTTTGCTTTCTGACATATAGTGTGCATATTTCACAGAACACCACGTCGGTTACCATGGGAGTAGAGACTATCGGCACCATTTCACAGAATGAAGTACTAGTGGAGAATGAAGTACCTCACGAGGTAAAAAAGTATTTAACAAACTTACAGAATATATGATATTTTGTTTATTTTTAGTACACCTTTAATTGGAAATTTATATGTACAGGAGGTGGTTCGTAAAGCTGGGCACAATTTGATCACTCCTAAAGTTGGAATGACATTTCAATCTGAGGAAGAAGCTTATGAGATGTACAACACCTATGCCGGCAAGGTTGGGTTCAGTATTAGAAAGAGCAAGACAAAGTGGGCTGCAGTGTACCGTGACTCTTTTACAGCAGACATGAACTCGACCCAAAGGAGTGAAGGTATGAATAATGTCTTCAAAAAAGATTTCGTAGGAGACTTGGTCTTTCTGAGCTCCTTGTAGAATGTGAGAAGGTTGCAGTTAGTCTCCGTGCAAATGAGTTGGATGCTGATTTTAAGTCACGTCGAAAGAACCCGGTTGCATACATTCCAAATCTACCAATGTTGAATACTGCAGCTGAATCATATACAAGGAGAATGTATTCAGAGTTTGAGGAAGAATTTAAGAGACAATTTACGTTGTCTTGTGAATTGTTGGAAGCTGCGGGGACAAACAAGACATTCTTTGTTAAGTACATGCAGTCTGACCGTGGAGCAACAGTAGTATTGAACACTGAAAAGAACCAAAGAATACACGTTTTAAAAATGTTGTTGAAAAGAAGGTAGGGAAGAAGAAGAAGAAAGGTGGTCAGAAAAAAGTACTAACCTTTTGCTTATGTCTACAATTTTTTAAAATACTGTATTATGATATATAAATATATTTCATTGTAGGTGAAGATCTGGAAAATAATGATGTAGAAACAAGAGATGAACATGCTGATCCAAACCAAATAACTGTAAGACATTAGCTATTTTCACAATTTATTCCCTTACAAGCATGTTTTGTGAACACTTTCTTATGCTATATATGACAGAATTTTAATGCTGGGCCATCTTCATCCATGGATGCTCCTTTCCTGCAAGGTGGATATGCTAATTCCACAATGACACACTTCAATCTAATTCCAAAACCTTCTGTAATGGCTGCTCCATATATTCCAGGAGGATACACAAGTCTCTTAATGGGAGTTGATCAAGATGCTACAATGCAAACTGCTGTTAGGAAGTTACATTTTGATGGAGTGTAAAATCATGAATCTATGTAACTGTGCTCATTTGCTGTCAAGTCACCTTATGAAATGAAATATGTATATTCTGTTGGCTTTGCTTAGAATTTTGCATTTCAAATTATTAAGACACATTCCACTGCTGATTTCAAAACATCCAAATATTTTTTTAAGAATTTGAGGGCACCGGCCCTGTCTTAGCATTAGCAAAGACACAAATCATCCGGATTACAACATTCAGGTGGATCACACCCAACAATACAGTTCTCTGACGAAACCTCACTGAAAATAGAAACTAAGCAGACAATCCCAAGCTAGTTACACCTACTACCACTAAGCATAAGCATAGCTCCCCAGTTCAGATCACCATGTATATACACCACCAGAATCTTCAAGGCTTGAAGCATCTCAGTTCTCTTTTCCCAGGTCGAGACTGACCCAGGCCATTCCACTTCCTGAAGTTCCAGTCTTAGTGCTTAGCTTCTTCTTCACTTCCTCAGGCAGTGAAAGGACATCCCAGTTATGAGATTGCTTAAACATGAAGGTGTCCCAGCCATCCTTCACATTTACATTATTCTTGCGAACCACTATTTTCACAGGTATAAATGAACTCAACACTGATACAATTGTTGACAACCTCTCTGTCATTCTGAAACATCTACATTCAGGCACACTTTCAATTCTTCAAGGAATCCCATAGTTCCTGAATCATTTGTCAGATGGGTCACGCTGCTGCAATGTACCATACATCCTGTTTCCTGCAAATACATATCGCTCCAATTTTCCAAAGTATCCAAACTGCATGCCATTTTAGCAGCCATCAGGATGGATACAGATAAAGTCTGTACATGAATCAGCAAGAGTGCTGGATGAAACATACCTGATCCAAATCGATGGGGTCTGCGCGGCAGACGGCGAGGGCGCCCAGGTTGAGGCCCAGGTCACCGAGAGGACGGCACAAACCTCTGGAGCTCCTCCCAACCCACCGCCGTCACCTCTGGATCTCCTCCCAATCCGCCGCCGCCACTCCCGTCTCCCTCTCCTCTCCCTGCCCGTCTGTGCAGGCGACCACTGCTGCAGGCGCCGCAGCAGATGCGCCTCGCTCAGCCGCGCGGTGGTCCTTCGTGACCTCCCCGGACACACCGCGAGTACAGGCCGCGCCGTGCTCTGGCTACGGCGGAGTCAGAGGAGATTGAGATATTGGGTGAGAGACCATTATGGAAAGTGGGCTTCGACGGAATGCCATCCCGCAACGGGGCTTCGTCAGGATGCCATTATGAAGTGTGACACAACCGCAAGGATGCCATCCGAGGGAATTTAGAGCCTTTTATTCCCCTTCTACCCCTCCCTTCTCTCTTTTTCCTTTCACGGTCGCGATTGGGACGGAGAACGGAGCCACGAACGGATCGAGCTCTCGGCTCTTTCTCCTCCGTCGCCGAGGTATCCCACGGCCGCCGATCCGCCTTCCCACGCCCGGCCAACCCCCAGAATCGCGCGCTGGCCCCCCACGCCTGCCAGGCCCATGAAGCTCCCCACGCCTCGTCAGTTAAGCTTTCCGCTGCTGGCCTGACGCCATGGCTTCGGCTCCAGCTCTCCTTGGCGGAAGAAGGCCTTCTCCACGCCGCCATGGACCACACCACGGCAACGACGCCCACAAGGACGAACAAGTACACAATACCGCCAAGTGAAGGATTTAAAACAATGAAATCCTCTTATTCATTGCCTGCATCAGTATGTGTCGGTTTACGTCAAGGTCTATACATCGAAGACAGAGAAGAACTACGATCGTCAGTTCTATGTTTGTCCAACTCGAACGGTGAGAATGGTTAGCTGCAAATTCTTTATGTAGTCCTTGTTGTGTGATTTGATGGTGAATCAATTTGATTGATTTCCATTCATATGATGAGAGAGAGGAGGTTTGGATGTCCATTTTGGGAGTGGGAAGAGGGATATGAGCAATACTTGGTTGACCAAAAATTGGTGCCTCCAGATTATCAACCTGTTTTGAAGTCTACTAAGTTATGCCAATTGTCGAAGACAAGCCAAATTGGAGAATCAAACTATGATGAACAAGTAAAAGCGACTTAGGGAGATAGCAATGTTGTCAAGTATTTGATTCTTGTCTGTGGACTAGTGTTAGTTAGCAATTTGTATGCAATTGTGAGGAGTGGATGAATCTTGTGTACTTGGTACCAAAATGTATCAGCTATGCCAATGAATCAATGAAATGTTATGTTCTCAAGTGACAAATTATTTTCTCTGTTGCTGCAATGTTATGTACAGCCAGCCTGATCTCTGTATAGAGGTTGGCCAGGGCTGTGGAGTTGTATTTGGACTCCAAGTCTAGGTCTCTAGTTGTTTGGGTTGTATTAGGCAAGGATCTTGTGTATTTTGTAGCAACTGATGATCTATTGAAAACAGTTAAAGGTGGTGGAAATATAGTTCATGTCTTATGTACAGGTGACATGGAAATATAGTTCCTGTCTTACTTGGAGTCCACCAAGGAGAAATAATTTACAGTA